TAGAAATGAAGTGTAATCAGTTGAAGATCATCTTGCTGTGTGGGAGTGCTCATTGGGCACATCTTTGTTGATAAATGTTTATGGTTGCTTAAATGCACACTCCCCCTTCACTTCGTCAAGATAAAAGCCGAAGTGGGTTTTTTTAAGACCAATTGAATCGTTTTAGTGCATGGGGATAAAGCACGCAAGCAATTAATTTATGCAGCATAATCTGACTTTCTCCCCAGTTCCACTGCCTTGCTAATATGTCATTTCGTATGGTTTGATGCTGAAGTGGGAACGTTATGCGATCGCGTTGTTGATGTAGGTGAACGGTTCTAATGCGGCCGCTTTTGAAGTAGACCGAAACTTTTGCCCTTGGAATGGATCTTCTGGAATGCACTTTTGATGTTAAGGCCTGTCTGTCCTGTTGTTTCCTTAAAACCCTTTTTGGAAATAACCATATTGCAGAATATGCCATGATAGATATGCCATTTTTGAAGGATTTCCATGGATTTATCCGTTGTTAATTCATCTTTCCAATTCGAATGGATTTTTTGCCGCCTAACCGGGGTTTGAAACAGTCAGTTTTATTTAGTGGAAAAGATATGTCTCGAGTTGGCTCCATTTGCATAGGATATGATGTGACAGAAACGATCCTTCCATTAACAACAAAATTTAGAACCAAATCCCTTAGTCTGATCATTCATCCGTCCATTAATCCATCTGTTTATCCATCCCGTTTTCATCCATCCACCAATTCATCCGTCTTTTTGTTGGCCAATTCACTTATGTTAGACCTCTTAATTCGTGGAGATATTTGAAGGCAAATAAATGTGGATGTAGAACCAAAACAGACGCAGCGCTGCTGGAGGATTAGATGCATGAGATTTGTCGGTGTCTTTTATATCCCACAGCATTCAACATCAACAACAGCTGCAGCAGAGAGGCAGACGTCCTTACCGACACTGAGCGTGTCGCCATGGGCTCATGAAACAGCCGTGGCGGACTGCGTGGCACGTTACGAGCAACTGGCACCTTCTCAGGCAGCACTGTAGGTCACGTACGTGG